GTGTGTGTGTGTGTGTGTGTGTGTGTGTGTGTGTGTGTGTGTGTTTGTGTGTGTGTGTGTGTGTGTGTTTACATCTGAGATAAATTTGCTCTTCACTGTAGTGAAAAGTCCCCTGTTCTGAAAAATTTCTTGCTCCAAACATGATTGTTTTGATTCATCCATTTATTTATCATTCTACATTTCAATGTGAATGTTCCATACCCTTGAGATTTGAAAGATAATAGCACTTAAAAAGATAAAGTATACAGTATTATATTGTTTTTCAGCAGACTTGGACAGATGCAGTCTTAGCCATTTACTTTCTGCTGTATTTGAGACTAGTCAAAGTCCTACTTGCAACTTTTAGCTTCGACCACTCGGGGGAATATCACTGTTTTGTTTGTTTTTATAAATCTCCAAAGAATTATAAAATAAAAATAAAATAGAACATCAGGTCCTTAAAAAGTGCTTAGGTTAACATATCAAAAACAGCAAGAACAACTTTTTGTGCAATACAAGTACTCAACACTGAACTTGCTTCCAGATAATAAACAATAAATAAAACAGACCCTTAATCACAGTGCTTTAAGTTAGCACTTCAGAAATAACACTGTTCATCATGACAAACTAAAAGTGCTGAAATAAACATCAATCATTTCAAGTAGTCTCCAGACTCAACTATGCCTTGTACATGGGGTGTTCTCGAGTTTAGTTTGCCGAAGAGCTTTGCTATGTATGGCTTGGTCGCTATATTGCGAACGCTTTCTTTGCTAACGTTAGCTGTGGCTGCAATCACGACTGGGTGCTTTGCATTGATGTGGGAGGCTAAACTTGAGCTGCTTTGGTGATAAGTAAACTCCTTACAAATTAGACACAACACTCCACCTTTATCAATTGTGTCGTCAAGGCGTTTTTGGAATGTAAATTTTCCATTCACTGTGCCGAAAACTCTCACAATGCTGCTCCATTTTCACCTCTCCACTCCTCACCCCTGCCTGTCCAACTCCAATGGGAGCCTATCAGCTTCAGCTAAACAAGCTCCAACATAATGGCAGCCAATCAATGTCCGCTTCAGGCTGTGACTGACAGTTGTTTCCCCACCCTCAACAACTTGAACACAGGAAGCCAACACATAAAAAGGGCTATTAGAAAAAGGCAACCCACCTACCGAAACAATAAAGGCAGAGATAAAAAGTTAGATGAATGTGATTAAAAAAAATAACGCGCTAAATGTGATATAATTAATTGATCGCAATTAACGCGATAATTTGACTCCTCTAGTTATAGCATTTAATTTGGGTTCTTGAATGAGATTTACAGTCTAAGTCCTACCTGCGTCTCTTGGGACAGTCCTTCATGTAATGTCCAATCTTTCCACAGATCCTGCAGCACCTGTCATTTGGTGCCAATTCACCATCTGTTAGAACCTTCGCATCAAAGAAGTAGTCCTGCAGCAGGAATAATGAAACAATTCAAATGGTTCATTTTAGGGATGCACAGTCACTGTCGGACAAATACTGTAACTATCGGACCGATATAGGGGGGAAAAAAATGAGATCACATGCATCAGTCCGATAGCAACAAAACTGGATTATCAACAACAGATGCATCAAATACACCAACAGTGGTCTGGTTACTGTCACTTTAAGAACATCTAAGGCAGGGGTGGCCAACCAGTCAGAAACTAAGAGCCAAATTTTTTACTGTGTTACTGTGAAGAGCCACATCGCGCACACACACATGCACACGCACACAAACATACACACAGACACACACACACACACACGGGCTGCAGTAGTTACTTACAACTTGGGTCAGCTTGCTACATATTTGACCGAAGATCGACTTTTGAAGTGACAAACCTCCCGTCATCGACCCGATTGCGCACATGCAAGCATACACACAGACACACACAGACACACACACACACACACACACGCACACACACAGACACACACACGGAGGCACGCGCAGACACCGAGATGAGCGAGAGCCGGAACTTCACTGAACACATACGGAATCGAAACACACACACATCCCCCCCATCCCCCATTTCCTCCTCCCTACGCCCATGCTCGACTTGGGATCAGTCCGCTGGCTCCGGGCCGATCGCAATTGATGTATTGGGCACCCCTACCTTTAAAGCTGACTAGCTTAGCGCTTAGCATTGAGCACCGTTGTTTGCGCATGAGCAGTGATTCAGTTGTCATCGGATTGGTTGCCCTGTTTGTCAATCATGAGCGCTAAGCACCATTGTTTGTACATGAGCGGTGATTCAGTTGTCAGCTCATTGGTTACCCTGTTTGTCAATCATTAGCGCTAAGCACCGTTGTTTGCGCATGAGTGGTGATACAATTGTCATCTGATTGGTTGCCCTGTATGTCAATCCGGTGATTCAGTTGTCATTTGATTGGTTGCCCTGTATGTCAATCAAGTAACGGGATTGATGATAGGCTGACGTAGTTAGTTCTGTGTATTTAAAGCAGTTGTTTGAATCGCAGCGCCACCGCGGAGGTGTTTTCGACGCTTGTCATGTGAAAGCCCGGGAGCCACATTGAACCAGCCAAAGAGCCGCATGCGGCTCGCGAGCCGCGGGTTGGCCACCCATGATCTAAGGCAAAGCCTCTGCTGCATGATGCAGCATGAAAATATGACGTGCCATTCACCATCATTGAGGGTTTTTTGTTTTTGTTTTTTTTACTTTGATTTAATGTCAAGCTGACGCTACTTTGCAGACACACGTTTACCAGAACTCCAAAATGTCAGACAATGTTGCAACACATGCTCATTCTCTGACAGACACCTCGTGAGACATTAGTTTTACTGTGGACATGGACATCTGACATTAGGCCAATGACTATGCTCAGCTCAAATATATCAGTTATACCAGTGGTTCTTAACCTGGGTTTGATCGAAGCCCAGGCGCATCAGTCTCAGGCGTCTAACGGAGCCTCTGCCACATGTCATTAGTTATAACATGCCCGCTTGGCCATCGCTGGCTCTAAATGATTACATTACATTCTTGTCCATTCAGTGCTGCGGGAAATTTAGTTTGCTCAGTCGTCAACGTGTGACCGTCGTGATAGTACCTTGTGTGATTTTTTTTTTTTTTAATGTTTTAACACATGCTATGTCGAACAAAAAAGCAAGTGGTCGGACGAATATGAACAACATGGATTCATTCACATGCATCATAGAATGTGATGGGAGTCTGCATCATTTGTCATGCCGAGTTGAGCAACTCTCATCTTGCACCAGCAAAACTGAAGGAACACTTCTTGAATCATATTTTTATTTTTCACTAAGGGTTCGGTGGATGCGCATCTGAACTGGTTGGGTTCGGTATCTCTAAAAAAGTTAAGAACCACTGAGTTATACTATTAGTTACCATTATTGGTATCGTGCATCATAAGGTTACTTGTACACTGCGTTACTTTAAGCAGTAAAATCTGTGGTATCATGCACTTGAGACCGTAGAGTTTGCCGTACCGCTTCAGTACCAGGGGCCGGGTAGAAGGGAGTTCCAAACAGCTTTCGCCCATTTATGAAAGCCTTCATGATAAAGTTTGTCACTGTAGGAGAAAACAGATGTTTCAAAAGAAGGTAATAAATATGCTTTTTGGTTCTGGAACTATATTCTAAAATGTAACCGAATGCGGGAGCAGTTTATCACCTTAAAGAATTTGGTAGGTTTATCAGAAGCAAGTTAGTAACTCAACTGAGCTAGTCATAAAATGACTAAAAGTACTGGTTTAACGAGCCAATCTTTAAATAAAGTTTTATTAAGGGATAAAAATACGTACTTTTGCGAGAAACTCCAGCACCAAGATTATGACTCAAATCAAAAGGATCTGAGAGTAAAAAAGGCAAGTAGGTGAAAAAAGGTTGCAAAACTATTTTAAACATGTTATATTAGCTAAACAGCCATTTTCAAAAGCGCACCTTCAATTGCAATGCATTTGCTTGTCCACTGCTTTTCAAAGGTAGTGAGACGTTTCTTTTGGCGGATGCTGATGACGTGCTCTTTGAAGTCAAACTCTTCGGTGTAGAAGCGCAGGAGGCCCAACCATAGCTCACCCACAGATTCTGTGTTAAGCTCCACCTGAGTATTACGCTGCCGCAGGCGCTGCATGGATAGAAGTGACAAATGCCACATAAAATTTAAGGCAGAGGCGATTGCTCTAAGGCTGCAAGGGAAGCTGAGCTTCCCCTAAAATGTCAAAAAAATAAGTGATCAAATATGTGTACATACAATTGTGTGTACATGTCATTGACTAAATATGCGCTACAACGCGCTCAACTCTTGTACAGAATCAGCTTCTTATTACTGGTTACGACGCGACATTCTTCTCATTCATTCTCGCAGCTTCACTGTGCTTTAAACTGTGTGGATGCTGAGCGTCTGCAGTGCGGACGCTGGGCGTCTAGAGAGTTCACGCTAGGTTGTCCCAATGCATTGAAACGAGACGATTCAATGGATAAATGCTGGTTTTGTCCCGCCCACCGGACGCTCAGCGTCTCTGGGAGTCTATGGACAGTGGGCGTTTATGGGCTGGCCCGGACGCTGAGCTTTTCTGCATGATGATTGGATGATCTGTCTGAGGCTGAATGTCTTTTGATTAACAGCGAAATGAGCCAATCACTGATCTTTTGGTGTTGGCATCCGTGGGAGCATTTTTCAATTCTCATTCTGTTCTGAGTTGAACGGGAGACTTCTTCGAATCATCTTAGCGACACTCTGTTGAAAACGACTAGCGACAAATTAATCTTTTATTTCTGGTGGGTTTTATTGTAGTTGCTTGTGTTTGCAGACTGACTTATATCACCACAGGGTCACAGATCATTTTCTTGAAAAGGAACGGAGAGTAGAATTCACGCATAAATGAATAAATAAACTGACACATTTTATGATGTAGGCCGAAATTGAGCTTCCCCTCCTTGACCGACCAGCATCCGCCACTGATTTAAGGGAACATTTTTTGGGATGTTTTTGCACCCCAAGTTCAAAAGCTAAGTAAAGTCTCACCAAATCTTCAAGGTCATCGAAGAAGAAGGCATTCCAACCATCTACTATTCTCTGTGGAACACTTGTTCCGTCAAAGATCTATAGAGATGTAGACAATGGGTTTGACAATTTTTAACCAGAATGCTAAGTCTTCATCTTCGCCTTAAGTTCCCTGTACATTTAATTGGTATCGGTAATTAGTACCTCCTGCAGGACTGGGATGACTGGAGGCTGCCTCTGTTGTAGAAAGTAAAGCACCATCAGGATGTATGCATAGGATGAGAGACTCCCTCTGGATGCATCTCCAATGTCACAGCGCTGTGAGTACAAAGTTACACATGAGTGAAGGGTCTGACATGCATTCGACATGTTATTCAAATACCTGGCAGCAGGTGATTCGCCCAGCCCTACTAAGCACAGTATGTTTAAAAAGATGTTTCTTTATACAGTGGTACCTACTTACGAACGTCTCTTCATATGAAATTTTCAAGTTACGAAACCCCTCAACAGGAAAATATTGCCTCTTGTTCCGAAAGAAATTTCAAGACACGAAATTTAAAAATACAGTATGGGCTGCTCGTCACAGCTCTGAGTTTCCTGAACGCAACATACTTGTAGCTGCTCTGGCATTGCCTTTTATTTAGTATCATCCTGGCATGCCATTGGCTAAGAGGAACCTCTACCGTATGTGTCTGTGTGAAGATAGCTAAATAGGTATGTGACAATGCAGCGTCCTTGTCATTTGCCCCTTGGGCCATGAGGCGTTTCAATAGTTTTACGTAAATGTAAATCACCCAGAAAAAGTGTTCAACAGTCGGGCGATCGCTCACTATGCTGATGTTTGCCTTGAACATTTTCGAAGGATTGTTAAAAGCCGACAACAGCAAATGTCCTTGGATCAGTTCTTTACAATACACGAGGCAAAAAACACTTCTGAGAGAGAACATGAATACGGTAATTCCTAATTTCTGTTTTTTGAACCTTTACTCCACACAAAGGTTTCAGGTCATCAAACCAATTTTGATATCACGCAAAGACAACCGAAGAAAGTACAAAATGTAGTTCCTAAATGCCAATTTAATTTAAACCTACCTGGCCCTATGTGTAAAACTAATTGCCTCCTGAACCTAATAATGGGCTGTGCCACCCTTGGCAGCAATAACTGAAATCAAGCGTTTGCGACAATTGGTAATGAGTCTTTCACATCACTGTTTAGGAATTTTGGCCAATTTTTATGCAGAATTTCTTTAACACTGCCATATTGGAAGTTTTTTTTTGGCATTAGCTGCCCATTAAGGTCACACCACAGCACACAGCACCTCAACTGGATTCAAATCGAGACTTGGACTTGGCCACTCCAAAACCTTAATCTATTTATTTATTTTAAGCCATTCAGAGGTGAATTTGCTGGTGTGTTTCAGATTGTTGTCCTGCTGCATAATCTAAGAGCACTTGAGTTTGAGAGCGCAAACTGATGGTCAGACGTTCTCCTCCAGGATTTTCTGGTAGACAACCGAATTCATTGTCCCATCAATCACAGCAAGTTGTCATGGTCCTGATCGAGAAGAGCAGCCCCAGACCAAATTGCCACCACCATGCTTTACTGTTGACATTAACTTGGGTGAACATAATAATACTAATAATAATAAAACTAATAAATATTCAGTAATGAATTAGGCAGCTTTTATTTACTTCGACAACCATAAAGAGTTAGTAAATATTGTTGAGCAATGACAGGCTTAGTATTCGATTTCATTTGCTTGTAGTTGCAGAGCTACATAGACAGTGATCATTGAAATCAGAATCTACATTTATCGGGGCGACTCCTGCACTGAATGTTCAACCCCCCTTCTGTATTTTGTTGGTGGTGCCTTGAGAGGTGCTAAATAAATTCAACATAGTATTATAATAAATCATAATACCATTATATGTACTTATGTGTTGTGAGCTGATCTGTGTTTCTTTTCCACATGGGGAAGTTAACATACAATGCTTTTATGACATCTGAGTTTAGCATTGGTATTGTGCCCCCGTCTATCACCAGTCTCTTGGAGAATATCCCAATCCTTGTAATGCACTCTCCTGCCAGAGGAAGACATAACCGTGCAGGGACTACACTGGCACCAAGCCAAGTCTTCCTGCCCTTGTCTTCTGTTTCTACCGAACTAAGTCTTTCTTCGGGACTGCTGCACATTTGCAGCATTGGTAAACACCAGTTTGACACCAGTTTGAACAAGTAAGGGCGAATAGCACCTGCAAAAAGCCATTGCTACCTTGCCTGTAATCTGTCAGCCGAACGACAGCTAACTTGGTTTGGTCACGTGACGTTATGCACGTACGAGAAACGTCGTCAAATATCGATCAACAACAAGGACAGCAGTGTCCAGCATGGCACCCCTCTGAGGTAGATGATTTATTATCTTGAACTCTTATTCCGGAAATGCAATGTTGATCAGACTACTATGTTTTTACTGTTGGTTATACATACAAGTATATTTTTGCAAACAATTAATTAGGGTTGACTTTCCCTTTAATGTGCGCTGTTTTGTTTTTATGACATACCTTTGCAAAGACCTTCATCATATATCCCAGGAGCTGCACTCGCTGATCCAGGGCTGCATACATAGCCAGCATTCTGGTGTTATGTTGAGCCTACCACACATTAGTGTCTCATATTTTACAACAGTTTCTCCAAAAAATAATGGTGTAAACCCTCGAGATTAGGCTTCTGTCACTCACCAGAGTGTTGTAGAGACTGATGTCTCCCTCCAAACCACTTTGCCTGTGTTCAAACTTCACGATAGGAACTTTTGCTGTTGTAATAGGCAAGATGTTCCTCAGTCCTTGTGTTGGAACATTATTAGAGAACACATGAAGTCAGATTACAGGTTACAAGAACTATGTTGGTGACGGATGCAAATTTAATAATTATAACATTTCATAATGTCAGCTTTCTGGGATGTTCACAAAATCAAACTTCCAAATATAAGTGCATGCTGGCAACAAATTCTGTGTCGTAAAAAAGAAGGATTTGTCCTCATGTCAAATTTTTTTTTTTTTTAAACAGTTTCACCTCTCATGTTTAATTAACCTTTTCATTGACAGTCGTGGGCAGCTATTCAAAAGTTTCTGTCTCCTATATGAATGAATTTTTTAAAATGTGTTCATAGTCCTGAAGTAGGGTTTTAAGATCATCAAACAAATGTATCGAAAAAAAACAAAACAAAAACCCCAACCCTGTGTGGAAAAAAATCACTGCCCCCAAAACCTGTCAGATTTTTTTAACAGCGTTATAAGTTGCACGGGTTTGAATTTTACAAACTAAACTGTTGTGGTGGGCAGGGATGACCACATATATTGACAAGTATAACTGGAATTTAGCTAATGAAGTGCCTTGAAGCACGTAACTCAACCTCTGAATTGATCATATAATATTTATTCACCTGCATGCTTCTTTAAGACTTTAGCAAGGCCTTCGATGATCTCCTTACAGTTCAGCTTCTGCACAGATCATACAATTCAGCCCCAATGTTAAAACGAATCATTTCTAATCCCACCGATGAAGTGTCGTTTGGTAAATGTATGTATGCTTACCTCTGCAGTTTCGTGACCCTCTAAAGTCATGCAAATGTCAAGGTCACTGTCATGAAAACCGAAGCCATTCTTGGAGGATCCAAATAAACACAGTTGGGCTTTATCTGCAGGGTCACATGCATGAAAACAATTTGTGCTGCATAGTGTGTATTCTTTGTCATTTTGTAGAAATCCTCAAACAAGTGTTAATTATGTCCAATACATGAACTACATAAAATATTCTGCCTTTACAAAGATGCTCAGTTTTGAGTGAACTAGCCAAAGAGTTACTTATTTACACGATATTCATTCTTATGATTGTAGGTTGCAATTAGTCAAGTCCATACATATTGGGACATCATCAAGTCTCATCTTTTTGGGTCTAATCACCAGCACAATGAATTTAAAATGAAACAACACCAACAACAACAAAAAGAAACAAACAAGATGTGCTTCAACCGCAGACTTTCATCTTTGATTTGAGGGTATCCATCGATCCATTTTCCAATTTGCTTATCCTCACGAGGGTCGAGGGCGTGCTGAAGCGTATCCCAGCTTTCTTCCGGCAGTAGGCGGGGTACACCCTGAACTGGTTGCCAGCAAATCGCAGGGCACATACAAGCCCCGTTCACACGACAAGATTTACTCCGACGCTGCACCGAAGTATTTTGATGCGATATATTTTACACCGCAACAAATTTCGTGGAGCGTTCACACGTACAAGCCGCTGAGCGACGCTGCACCGACGTAGTGCCGAAGTAACTCCACTTGCGGTCACACGGGGCAGTATTTTGTTTCGCTTCGTCTGTGTCGCTGGCCCCCTCGTCACTGTCGGATTCCGTGCGTCTGGTAGCGAGCGTAGCGAGGCCACTCCCCTGCAGCGAGCATTTGCTCTGGAGCAAATTTACGCCAGTTGCGTTCACACGCGCACATTTGCTTCGGTGCTGCTTCGCAAACGAGCATTTGCTTCGGAGGAAATTTTTAAACCACCTCCCTGAGGTGGATCAAATTTAATGCGCACTAGGCTGTTGAGCGGCGCTACGTCGAAGTAAATTTGCACGCGTGAACGCTCCACTGGCGTAGAGTCGGTGCAGCGTCGGAGTAAATCTTGTCGTGTGAACGGGGCTATTGACGAACAACCATCCACGCTCACACTCATACCGTGGGACAATTTACAGTGTTCCATGAACCTGCCATGCATATTTATGGAGTGTGGGAGGAAACTGGAGTACCCGGAGAAAATCCACACAGGCACGAGGAGAACATGCAAACTCCACACACTAAGGTCAGACTCGGGAACGAACCCCGCACCTCTGCTCCACTGTGCCACCCGATTTGATGTCTATCCAAATCAGGTGACCTGTGTAGGAATTAAAACAGTTAAATTCCTCCCTCTATTTAAGAGACCAAAACTAACGGGATATCAAACTAGCTGCTAATAAAATGGGTTCCCTTGTATTTATTGATTATGTGATTGCTGCCAAAAGCAGTAAATTGAATTGTGAATTCTTTTGGGCAATATTATCTGATCTTGGCTGAATATGATCACTGAATCGTGTTTCACAATGCAGATGGATAATGACTCAAAGCATGTTGCGAAAATCTTCTGAAAGGCATAGAAGGAGAATGTTAAGGACTGGCCAAGCATGAGCATGCATTTCACTTGCTGAAGATTTAACTCAAGAGAAAATACCCTAAGAACAAGCATATAGCAGTAGAGGCCTGGCAGAGCATCACCAGGGATGAAATCCCACATCTGGTGATGTCTATGAGTTCAAGCTGTAACTCACTACAAAGGATTTGCAACTACGTATTAAAAAGTTGAAAGTTTCATTTTTGTTAAGTTGTCTCATTCCTTTTAGTAAATTAAAAAGTGTTGGGCATATACTGCGTAGGTAAAGGGCGCAAGCTTACATTGCGCAAGAATATGTTAGCAATACCTCATTCTTCTGAGCCTTCAAAAGAGCCTTATAGCGGAGTCGATATTACTCTCGGACTACCAGCCAGTGACGGTGTGGGTTTGAAGCACGGGCGGTGTGCCTTGGACAGTGCAGCATCGCCAGAGTTACATTTACAAACTGCTGTAATTCTAACACCATTCACCTGGTTTGGATATAAGCAATCTCAAATTAAAGATGAAAGTCTGCAGTTTTAGAACAACTTGTTCATTTCATTTTCAATCCATTTAACTCCTCTACCACGAAACCTACATGGGCAAAAATACCCCCTAGTGTGAAAATTTTTTCATTCATGAAAGCCATTCCCACTTTTCTGCTCCCCCTTCAACGAAAACCCCCTGTGTTCCATTTTATGAAATCTTTTTCTCTGCTCTTGCCTTGCGACGAGATTCACTACAACGAAAACAAGCCTTCCGCAAAGGTCTAATCTCAGCCTCAGCCAACAGCGACTCCGACTGCTTCGCTCCGAAACTACAACAGCAACCACCACACTGGTTTACACATACGCAGTAGTCCAAGAAGTATATTGTTGCATTGCTAAAGTGGCTACAAAACGGACCTTTGGATGCCAAGCAGCTAAGTCAAGAAGAGCTCTGACGCTGGAAGAGAGGGTGAAAGTGATCAAAATGTAAGACGGAGGAAGCAAAATAAAAGACATTGATGTAAGTGAAAGTGAATGCTGATGCCGTAAATTTTGCAATCTCTTTCCCTTTTATTCTCTTTGTGCACAACTGTACATTGGCTATACAGTACAGTACTGTACAGTATGAAGTGTCGTTGGGATAAGGATCATTTGATTTTAAAAAATCATTGATTTAAATTCCAATTTAAATCTGCTAAAAATTAACACATCAGTACTTTTATTTTCTATCAATTCTTTTTTCACAAATGGATAGAAAATTTGAATGTTGCTTTACAACATAACCAAAAAATGGAACTGATTTTTGGGTGTTTTTTTTCTTAGTTTTGTATCATTAAATTTATCAATTACATATTCATAAGGTGTTACAGTACTGTATACAGTAGACATATTATTCATTACAGTACTGTTGTGCTTTAGGTGCATTTTATAGAAGTTTGAAATCAAATTATAGACATTGAAACTTCCTTTTTTTATAAGAGTATAAATAACTTTTTCAAACCAACAAAGTGGAGTGATTACCGTATTTTCCGCACTATAGAGGGCTCCGTCCTTTGAGCAATTACCCACAATGCACTATCGGCGGCCATATTGGAGGGCTGTTATAAACAAGCCATACACGTGTATGGCTTGTTTATAACAGCCCTACACGTGTGGTCATGAACGCCTCTCGAGTCTAACGGAAGACGGACAAAGACGTACCTGTAGCTTCATCTAGTGGATGCATTGTAGATTGCACCTTATAGTCCAGTGCGTGCAATATATGAAAAAAAATACCAAATAGGCCATTAATTGAAGGTGCGCCTCATAATCCAGTGCGCCTTTTAGTGCGGAAAATACGGTCATATAAAAAATTGTATCTTAATGTTAAACAATATCAAATAAGTGTATGCTTATATTTACGCAACAGGTTTGGAATAAAAATAAAGAGTACACACGTGTGTGTGTGTGTGTATGTGTGTGTGTGTGTGTGCATGCGTGCGCGTGTGTTTACATCTGAGATAAAATTTGCTACAGTGAAAAACCCCCTGTTGTGAAAAATTTCTTGCTGCAAACATGATTTCGTTGTTGAGGAGTTTCACTGTAGCAAGAAATATGAGAACTGTATCCATGTCCCCAATACATATGGACCTGACTGTGAAAATGGACTGCTTCACCCTGAAATATTTTGACTCAGTCTTGTAACTAGTACAATGAAAAGGAAAGCAAGATTTTAAACAGAGCACTCATGACCATCCCAGCCTGGAGAGCATGATCAAATTTCATGTACTAAGCATGTTACCATTGTTCGTACCATTGTACTCCTTCCTTATGAACCTTTCCAGACTGGCAAGGATCTGCTCTCTCTTCTGCTGCTCAGCATGTGTGGGTGCCAGTTCATCTACAACAGAGGGAAAACATCCATCACCCTTGTATGATAGTATGAAGAGGCTTCACAATGGGCAGGTGTCATTGTACTACGATTTATTTACAGTACGATAATATTGCTGACTGTATTGTAAACACGAGCAACATATTGAATCTGGTGCAAAAAAACGGTAATTCGAGTCAATCCATTTTATTTACCACCGATCCTATGCAGGGTATTGGGGGTGAATAGGGCAGAATTTTTGGCATAGTTCAAGTATCACTGTGACTAGGTCATAAGGTGGGTAAATGGTTATTATGACAGGGCAGGCCGATATCGTCGCTGTCAGGCAGCTTCCTATGTCCAAATTAGGTAAATTTTTTCACAGATAAATACTACTGGTCAGTCTCTATATGTCTTTTATTTTTACACATTTTAAACAATCTCAAGTGTTTAAAAAGGAGATGCTCTCTTAGGATACAAAGTTAATTTGAAAATGTGTTTTTTTTTCCTGAACATTTTTGGGAGACGCCACCAAACTACAGTGATATGCACTCAACTCCAAAGGCATTGGAGCAGAGAGGCCAACTTTTGCTGTAAACTGAAAACATTTCACAAATCATTACTCTTAAGAGAAAAGATCAATGTTTCAGCTTTTATTTTCAAGTACTAACGTCTGGATCTGATTCACAACTCCAAGGATAGCTTTTTTGGAACAAAATTTTATTAACAAGCTTGTATTAACTGGGTCAAGGACAGGGAATCACTAAACTTTTTCATTCTTCTTTTGTGGTGCCTTCCCAGACTTTCAGCACAGTTCCTGTTGCCTACCTTTCGGTGTAACTGAGTAAATTAGTCTTCAGGACATTTTACATGGTTGTACTGCCTATGGGCAATAGTTGTGCAATAGCTATCTCCTCATCTCAGCTTCACAATTGTCTTACACTCACAGACAGTCTGAATAATCAATATATAAACCCATTTCCAATTAAGGTGGGACATTGTGTTCAACAAAAACAGAATACACTACAATGATTTGCAAATCATGTTCAACCTACACTTAATTGAATACACGACAAAAACAAGATATTTAATGTTCAAACTGATCAACTTTATTTTTAGCAAATAATCATTAACTTTGAATTTCCAAAAACTATTTGAAATGTGGACTCGTCAGACCACAGAACCCTTTTCCACTTTGCATCAGTCAATCTTAGAAGAATCCCAGCGAGCTGCATTGCTGTGTGTTGTTTATAAATGGCTTTTGCTTTGCATGCATAGAAGAGTCTCAAGGTAAACTTACAGATGTAGCACTGTACTGTACTGTCTAACATTGGTTTTCTGAAGTGTTCCTGAACCCATGTGGTGATATCCTTTACACATTGAGGGATTGAAGGTCACGGGCATTCAATATTGGTTTTCTACATGCACTGATTTCTCGAGATTCTTCGAATCTTCTGATGATGTTACGGACCGCATATGATGAAATCCCAAAATTCCTTGCAGTTGTATGTTAAGGAATATTGTCGGTAATCCCCAATTCTTTCACACACTTGTTCACAAAGAGATGAACCTCAGCTTTTTAAAACGCACAGTTTATGAATGGTTGGCTTGGGGCAGTAGGCTGGGTACACACTGAACTGGTTGCCAACCCATCGCAGTGTTAAAAACAATAGTTTATGAGGTTGATCAGTTTTAACATTAAATATCTTGTCTTTGTAGTGCATTTAATTCAATATAGGCTGAACATTGTTTTGTGCTTTTATTTATGTTGAACACAATGACCAACTTCATTGGAACTGGGTTTGTAGTAAGACACAGATGGGTAATTAAAACACACCCGTAAGCTGCATGTTTGTATATTATGATGGAATAAAAGTGTATCAGGTACAGATGTAGTAGAAATGAATGCCTGGAAATAAAAGCTGAAGTGGTGATCTTTTGTCTCGCATTCATCTTTTCATTCATTAATAGTTAAAAAGGGAGGAAAATTTGGACTATTTACTTGTGTTTTCTCTTCACAAGGAAGCAGATCGGTTAGCATACAATAAGTTAAATGAAATCATAATGGGACAAAACTACAAAATTCAATGCAAACCCCCAAATACACACAGTGGCACAGTTTGCAAAGCCCATTCAGGATCTCTCGGAAATGGTTGTTCATTGGAGGTAGGAGCTTCAACTCGATCTTTTTAAAGTCATCAGGACACTCATCTTTCAGGTGACCATCTCGTTTGCAAATACTGCACACAACATTTGGAGGCTGAAGAAAATATAAGGGAAAATTTCAAGGGAAAAAAAAAACACACAGAAATGCATCAATTTTGCGATTAGTTACAAATAGTCATTGTGGAAAACATACAAAAAGTTGAATAAGGTCTGTGTAATTATTACCTTCCCGCCCGTGAAAATCATCTTATCAAAGATATAGTGAAGCTCTTCTGATGTTGCGACTCCCTCTTTTTCAGAAAAACAGTTTTCCTCCTCTTCACCCTTTATTTCTTCGTGCAGTAATCCATTGGTGGGAAGGGAAGAGTGTTCAGAGGCTTTGCTCTCTTCACTGAGGGCCATAGCCATGAGGCTGCCATCAAGCAGCCTCTCATCCTCCTCTGTGGACAGATCTGACCTAGCTTTATTGTCGCTCAAAATGTCATCATCCTTTGATTGTTGGAATGTCATTTGAATGTTCTCATCTGTCAACTTCGATAAATTAGTCTCAATCTTGTTAGCACACATTGATGCAGGCCCTTTCTTCTCTACTCGGGACAACTTGGACCCTTGCTTGCCAGCCATCTTGCTTTTCTGCTCCATCCTGCCTTTTTTCTGTGGGCAGGCAAAGTATTTATAAGCTGTGCGGAACCGCTCCTGTATGTACTCAAACACCATTTGGCTGTTCAAGCTTCGTGCAACGTTCCTCTTCAAGGCAAAAGGATCTTGGTGAAAGAGACAAGAGACTTGAGTCAGTTTTTGGTTTTTTTCCACACACTTATGATCAACAAGCTGATGTACGGACTTCAGCACTTACCTTCTATAGCAAGCCTGCGGCGAGGCCAGTTCTTCATTTCCCGAGATAGAAGCGCTTTTAAACGGATGCTGATAATGTATTCTTCCAATCCAAACTCTAGAGTGTAGAAACGCAGGAGTTCCAACCATAAGTGTCCCAGTGACACTTCTTCACACAATTCAAAAGTCAGCCGGGCCTTTAAAAGTGGTCAAATTAAAAAGGAAAATTACAGCTGGCAGAAATAACAAGAAGATCCAAAACTTCCATGAGTAAACAACACAACTATCAAATCAAATAAGACTCACCAAGCCATGTGAAATCTGAGCCTTATCAGGTTTACTGCGCTCTGGTTTTGATCTGCCTTCCCCCCTAGCATTGTTTTGATTCTCTACCTGCCCATCCGTGGTGCTAGAAGGTCTGTGCTCCCATTGCACATACATGTCTGACTGGATTCCTGTAAGATGATACTCATCCACATGTTTCACATCAAAGCCATCAATCTGAAAAAGCATAAAACCAAACAAAATAAAAATGAATGACGGTATACATTAAAGCTGACCAATATAGCCTGAAAATAACCTTTCAGATTTCAGATTATTCAAAACTAGTTTTCAATTTTTTCCTCTTCTGGGATTTATTTCTCCTTATACCAAACAAGATTTCAACATTTTTTTTCCCAAGCATTATTTGTTTTTAACAAATATACAGTTGGTATAAAGTCTACACGCCAATGTTCAAATGCCAGGATTTGGGGATACAAAAAAATAAGACCAAGAAAAAACAGACTTAAAAAGGGTAAAATCTTATGCATTCCAGGAATGAAAATGGGTCAGGTTTGAAAAATGTGTTAAGTATACGAGCCCTGTCAGGGAGTCCAGTCCTCCTCCAGGACAACATTTTTACTATTTCATATTTAACCATCAATTTGGTGCATTTTGAGAAAAAACAAACATGCACAATTAAAAGACTATCAATGTACGTGTAGGCAGCGATGGGCATTCTATCCCTTGGGATGGAACAGATGCCCATATTAGGGACTGAGGACTAGAAGTTTTGTTTTTAAAAAGCACAGACTAAGCAAGGACGGAGGTGGGTTTTCATCCGTCCCTTTAATCGTCTCTAACCTCGTTAAGTACCTACGGACACCCATTTCATGACTGACAGAAACACACCCAGACTGTTTTACGTGTGTAATCCACATATATGCTACTTCAGAATTAATGTGGCGCGCCGCTTGTCTTGTCCGTGTTCACTGTGTTTGTATGCGGGAGGGAGTGACTTCCCTTCAAACGAAGCAGACAAGAGGAGGAGCACTCGTCATCCATGCAAAAAAGTTTACACATGACCAGTAGTCTGGTGACCGATGGTGGTAGTGTTGGAAGCTAAGTGCTATCTTAGCTGACACTTAAACAATCGTAAAAAATTCAATCCAAAAAAGCTGGCTATGTTGTATGACTCTCGGTGCCCTCCGACCAAATGATTATGCCCCCCATTTGAGACATGGATTTCTAATAGTAAATTTTTCATTTTTATTATTTTATTTTATATTAATAGCTATTTTTTGTGTTGTGAAATCCTGGTGACTTGCTCATCAATGAGACATAAAAAATATAAAGAAACAGTGATGTCAATTTTGTTTGATTGATGGCCAGTCTAATCTGCAACAGGCAATCACGGCGTTATTTAAAATAAGGTTTAGTACGTAGGTGTATACGCAATGAATATGTCAATGTTAGCCTTGTGGTATCGTGTAATGTGGGAAGACATGCCATGTGTTTTGTATTTTATGGACCCGTTTCTCTCGTGAAGTGATCTAAGCCTTGTACTGAGCGCTTATATCAAGAAGAAAACACCCTAAAATCCTTCATACTTGGGCAATCATTCTATTTTCAGAAATTAGTGTGAGCATAAGTAAAGATGTCAACTTAAAGTTGGGTGATCATTGATCACAGTCAATGTTTCCTCTAAGACCCATCTTGCGTCTTCGTATAATTCCAACAGCATTAAAGATGACTTTTCTGGTGAATCTGTTGCTTGAGGTAATCCAGCTTCCAATTTAGTGCATATTTTTCCATCAGAAAATTTGCTCACAACTTGAGCTTCGCTGCGTGTTTTGCAGAGCAAACCTTTCTCGCTCGTATTAGAAAATATTTCACCCAGTTTCACCGCTTGTTCTTTTATTTGCACATACTGCGACAGCCATTCCAACTTAAAAGAACCACAGTTCATTTTTATTTTGGTTTGGGGAGTCAACGTATCACGTTCACTGCCCCCTCATTTCGCCATGATAAAGGGTTAGCATTAGCGTCACTTATCACTGACGCACTGTTGATTTGATTTGATTTGACATTTTATTTGGTCTCCCATCGGAGAAACTTGTCTCGGAGGACATGCCCTCCTTGCTGCTATATTATTGTTATGTAGCGTGTTTGAGGAGAACACATGTTGTCTGTGTTAAATAATTCAGTAGCAGGCCTGAGGATTTCGGAAATTTTTTCGGTTCCGTCGGATTACCCAATGGGAAACCACGGTAACTAATTTTGGGTTCCATAAACGTTCATCATGGGAACCCATTTTTCTATTTTGACTGATATTCAGAATCAAGAATTCTGAAACTCAAAAGTACAATGTTTCAAGGGTAAATGTTTGAAAACTATGCATTAACAATGAACATTACATCAGCAGCTGTGTACTCCAGGTTTATTCCAAAAAATATATGGATCAAAATATGATGTACTCATATGGAATCATGAATACAGCATACCACTAAATCAGAGTACTTTTTCCAATCTCACACTGTAAAGATTAATTTACTGGCAATCATTAATACAGGTAAGATTTGATGTGGCTTGACATCCTCTTCCCAAGACGATGCATGTGTAATCTACTATCAATTTGACGAAAGAATCTAACACACGTCATCATCAGTTCTACCAACATCATCATTAGTTTTATCAACAGTTAACATTAGCATTACTACACCTTGTGACAAATGTTTTATTCATAAAGTTACCATGCTACAACCAGTAAATTATAGAATAACCAATACGCTTTCATCATATTTTTCATAGCGATTAGCCTATAGATCTAATGACCCAACTTGCCTCGTAATCGTGCCTTACGTCGTATCTCGCTCTCGTGTTATGTAGATACATCACAGGTGAGTTTAGTGATATGCCCTTCGGACAATTCATTTAGCTGCTTCCTCTGTGATATCTCCGCAATAAACTTTAGCAACACTTGATCGCAACACTTGTTCGCAACGTTACACAACTTGGCAATCGTCTGCTAGTTTCATTAAATGTAAATGTAGTTAATTCATGTGGCCCCTTGATGTGCCATTTGGCGTAGAAAAAAAAAAGTAGTGTGTTTCCGGTAACCTGACCGACAGAATTTCTACACCGAAAAAAAACTTTACGGTCGGCATTTTTTTCAAACAACCTTTAAATTTAACACACGTCATCATTAGTTCTACCAACAGTGAACATTAGCATTACTACACCTTGTGACGAATGTTTTATTCATAAAGGTACCATGCCACAACCAGTAAATTATAGAATAACCAATACTGTTTCATAATATTTTTCATAGCGATTAGCCTACAAATCTAATGACCAACTTGACTCGTAATCGTGCCTCTCGTCGTATCTCGCTCTCGTGTTCTGTGCATACATCCCAGGTGAGTTTAGTGATAAGCCCTTTGGACGATTCATACGAAAAATCGGACTGGCATTCCCATTTCTTAAATGTCGTAATTAGTAGACCATTGTGAGTTTTTTTCGCCGCCATCTCAAACTTTCATCCGGGCGATTCCTCAGTTTGCGGACTAAAATAGTAACCCGCTTGCGCACATAACGTTATCTGTTGCGTCCCCCCAACACTCAAAACAAAACAAAACTTGTTTTCTTTTCTTCTTTCTTCTTTCTACCCACAATCTTGCTGCTGATGAGTGTAAATTTCCCCAGTGTGGGACAAATAAAGGACATCTCAATAAGATAAGATAAGAAAACCTTTATTCGTCTCGCAATGGAAAAATTCTTAATCTTAGAAGAAACACACTCACACACCACACCACAAACACACATGGAGGCACTGTGAAATCGCGTTGATCACACATTCAAGTCGTGTGCGGTGACTTTAATGGTTAAACAATTTTTCGGTACCGTTAAAATGACGCCACGGAAACGACACACTACCGGTAACTATTGTTACCGTGAAATCCTCAGGCTTGCCGTAGTTTTTTTTTGTTTGTTTGTTTGTTTGTTTGTTTTGACTGAGAAATTTCCTTGCGTCCCAAAAACGCACATTATTTGAAACTGTGCATCCCGCGGGAAAATTATGCGTCTAGGATGCGGGACGCAGAGGTAACGAGATGGCTGCTCGTGGGCTCAGGGAGGTTGTCTGTTTGCCCAGAGATATGAAAAATTAGAGGGAGCATTTATCACAGTTTTCGCAAATTAGGCGACATTTATATTTCCATGTTACAGATTTAGACCATCATGCTGCATAACTCTACGGCAGGGGTCGGGAACCTTTTTGACTAAGAGAGCCATAAAAGCAAAATATTTGGAAATGTATTTCAGTGAGAGCCATATATGTGTATGTATATACCGAGTTGCTGCTGGTTAGCTTGCACCCTGCTCAGTAGCTTGCACACTTCCTTTCCGCTGTCTCTCGCAGGGTATTTTGATGCGAAGGGAGGAACGTAGCATGGGGCGTGTCAAAGTGCCGCTCTGCATTCGATCGTTTCATCGATGGTATTTTGACATTGCAAATCAGACACACCGCAGAACCCGTTCTCTCCACAAAGGCGAATCCTTCGGTCCATTCGTCCTGAAGTCTACCAAACTCGTCATCTTTTTTTCTTTTCGCCATCGTATTCGCTAAGGATTAGCTTTGAGCTAATGGTCGAGCGGGTTGATTCAAAAGGGGGCGATACCTGTTTCCACAGCAACGGCAACGTTGGCCAGTATCATCCAATCAAAATGGCTCCTGGAGCCAACTGCAGCCCAAACAGGAAATAAGCAGTGAAAAATCGATCAATGGATGCATTAATAAACAAACGAGAATATTTTTTTTATCTGCGAGCCATATGCAATCATCAAAAGAGCCATATATGGCTCGCGAGCCAAAGGTTCCCGACCCCTGCTCTACGGCAAGTGAGAAGGGACTTATTACATTAGAATCGGCAACTAATAAGATAATAAGATAACCTTTATTTGTCCCACACTATGGAAATTTGCAGTCTACAGCAGCAAAATTGGGGGGTAGAAAAGCAAAGAAAAAAAAACAGCGTTGCATGCACAAAATAAATAAATGTTTCAGAGAAAGAACTGTACACAGTATAGAATGCAATATAAATATAAGTTGCATATGTGCATCTTATGCATACTTAAGGTGGCTGTGCTATTTACAATGGTTACAGGTTTTCACTCATGTTTTCTGATTGTATTGTAGTAATGTAAAGTAAAAGTAATGAGCCATTTGAACCGTTTAACAC